TATTCTCTTTCGTTTTGTACACAGTATGAAGTGCTATCAATTTTGGTTTTGTATGGTCTCAGAAATTATAGTACATTGCGTTGATTGCTGCTCTTAATAAATGAAAACAATTTTTAAATATGATGCATTATAAACTATTGATACACATTCTAGAACATACATGCCATTGATTGCTTTGCTGCCCTTGACTATTAATACATTGGAGATTCGAAGTAGTTCTCAAAAAGGACTCAGCGTTCCAGATGCCAGCCTTGTCCCTGTATCATCAACTATTGATGTTATTGAACTAATGAACCTCGGTCAAAGGAACCGTGCAGTTGGAGCAACAGCTCTTAATGACCGCAGTAGCCGATCTCATAGGTATGGTGTATCCTATTCACCTCTTGTCATGGTACTTCTTGGACACAGCTAACAATTGTATTCTTTCAAATATCAATTTGGCAGTTGCTTGACTGTTCATGTTCAAGGAAGAGATTTGACATCTGGAGCTATCCTTCGTGGATGCATGCATTTGGTTGACTTGGCAGGAAGTGAGAGGGTGGATAAATCTGAGGCCACAGGAGATAGACTGAAAGAGGCACAGCATATTAACAAATCTCTTTCAGCTCTGGGAGATGTCATTGCTTCCCTTGCTCAGAAAAACTCACATGTACCTTACAGAAACAGTAAACTCACACAACTACTCCAAGATTCACTTGGTAAGGTTTTAAGAAGTTTGTTTGCCAGCCATTTTTTTTCTGTTCCTTAGAAACACAATTCGTTTGAATTCTCTGATATTGTTGGTTCGATTGTTTCAGGAGGACAGGCAAAGACACTAATGTTTGTTCACATAAGTCCAGAGAGTGATGCTATTGGAGAAACAATTAGTACCTTAAAATTTGCTGAAAGAGTTGCCACAGTTGAACTTGGTGCTGCTAGAGTAAACAAAGATAGTTCAGATGTTAAAGAGCTCAAAGAACAGGTTGATGGTCAAATCTAAATTTTGTAGTTCTCTTGGTAAATAATCTTAGTAATTTCATTTTCAGTCCTATCAAATCTAACTAACTACTGAATTACGTTTCAGATTGCCAGCCTTAAGGCAGAACTAGCAAGAAAGGAAGGAGAATCAGAACATTCTTTATGCAGCAGCTCCGAAAAATACAGGACAAAGGGTATTGAGCTTTCACCTTACCAAATTCCTGACACCGGGGATCAGCTTGGATGCCGGCGACCAATGGTGGAGGTTGGCAATATAGAGGTATGGAATTGGAAAACTAACTAACATGACTGTTACGATTTTTACTCAAGGAGTAGTCTGTCCTCAAGAGAACTGAATAGATCATGCAAAATTTTATTGGTTACTGTTCCTTGTTAAACTGAGATGGAATTTGAACAATTCATCCTGCAGCTTCAAAGTAATACAACAGTGAGGCACAAAACTCAGAGCTTTGATTTTGATGAGATATCAGGAAATTCACCACCATGGCCCCCGGTGAACAATAGTCTTGGACAAAACTATGCGGAGGATGACAAAGAATCTGGTTCTGGAGAATGGGTTGACAAGGTCATGGTCAACAACAAGCAAGACGTAAACAAAACTGAGAACCTCTTGGGGTGTTGGCAAACAAGCAATGGGAACTTATCTGAAGCCTTTTATCAGAAATATCTCAAAGATTCTTGCAAAATGTACTCAGAACAATCATACAACATGTTCATAGGAGGCAACCAGTTTAACATTGCGGGTTCAGATGACACGGATGAGCCCGATGCTGCCACCAGTGATTCCTCAGAACCTGATTTGCTTTGGCAATTTAATCATTCCAAACTCAGCAGCATGACCAGTGGAATCGGATCAAAGACTACAAGATCCATCTCTAAGTCAGCGAAAAGCCCCGAGTTGAGGTAATGCAAAAGTGATATTTTAGTAAAATGTTTTTTTTTTTCTATTATATTCATAGATTATTTTTATTTGTACTGTTTGGTGATAATAGTATATTTTGAATTTTGCAGCAAGAATGCTGTTCATTCTTCTCCTTTGGGTCCTTCGCCTTCATTGAAACAGTCAAATGGCGTCTCACATCGAACAGGAAGGCATCCAGCTCCAGTTGACGTGAAACGTAGAAGTGGCGGTAGAAAATAAACAATGTGTTATTCAGAAGGTATAAAGAGTGATTGTTCATATTTTTTATTTTTTAATATTTTTTCAATTTTTTAGATCGACAGAGAGAGCTATTTTTGTATTATTTTTTGGGTTTGTATTTTGTAATCATCAACCTCACACGGATAATGGAGCAATAATGCCAGTTGCTTTGTTTGTATAATGACATTCTTTTGTTTTCTTTTACAACATTTAAGGGAATGTAAAAGTTTAAACTCCTCACACTGCAATGAATTTTTATTTGTACAAATCAGTTTTCTCATGTTTTATATATCCCTCCCCCAGTTTTTTTCTAAATCATTTTTGGAGCAAATAAATACAACTACTTTATTTGTATGCATAAGACTTGAGTTGATTAGATTAATTTTATATGATATATTTACCTCATAATACTGATCTAAAAAATGTGTTTTTAAGAAAAAGTATTAAATTAGAAAAATAAAAATTTGTTAAAATCTTAATTATTCCCACAGACGAAAAGCATATTATGGATGCCAGCATTTGGCCGAAATTAGTAAAAAGGAAAAATGCAGCTTACCAAGAAAAAATAAACAAAGAATACTGTCATCTTTGTTTGGGGTGCAGAGAGACAAATCTCATATTGGTGCAACCCAAAACCTTTGTCCAACCCATAAAATTTGGTCTGAGGCCCAATGTTGAAGAGCCCAATGTGGAATTATGCTGGGTCTAAAAATGGAAAAGGATAAAAAAGTAATATCACACAACTTACATGTCTTTTTACCTTGAATATTTCATCAATATAGAGTGAACTATTTTCATAACCCTCTCAAACGTAGCCACAAAAATAAGTTACTTCCACTTTTTCTTTTTCTTTTTCTGTTTTTGCATTTATGGAGGAAAGAATTAGGAGAAAAAATAAATAAATAATTGAATTTATGTGGCGAGGCAAGAACAATTTGTACTTTGGTGCAACCTTGGAACATTAATTGATTATTGGTCGAGAGTAACTGGTGGACGAGGAAGGTCCAAAGGAAATCTCTGGAACTTTCTAGGTGCAGAGCACGTCATAGATCTTTCACTTACAAACCTTTCTGACAACATAAGAAACTACGAGAACCTCCTCCACCTCCCGCATCGTTTTACTAAAATAACAACGACATTCACATTTAGGTTTTAGTTGTTCCAAGCAAAAATGTCAAACGATGCCGTTTGCTTCTATTCGGTGCTTGGGATTGGCAAACATTCGACCGATGGTGAAATTCGATGCGCTTATCGTAAGATGGCTATGGTATTGCCTTGTATATTACTCTCTCCAGTTAAACATTGTACCATGTTTATGTTATTATCAGTAACATTATTGTCACATTTTGTTTGAATTTAACATGCTTCTGAATTGAATGCGTTTGTGTTGAACTTTTTGGTTAAAAGAAGTGGCATCCTGATAGATGTAGCAAGGACCCAAAGTTTGCACTGGAGGCAAAAAAACAGTTTCAGCTCGTTCAAGAGGCTTATTCAGGTGCTTTACTTCACGACAAGAAATCCAACGTATGTCACTTCTATTATGATAAAACCGCAACTGAATGTGTCTGTTTTCCTTTGTGAATATAGTTTTGTCCAACACAGGGAAGAGAAGGATATATGATGCTGGTTTGTTTGGTCTAATTGGAGAGGACGATGATGAGGTGAGTTTTATGTTATTAATTATTAATTAATCAATCAATTACCATATGAGATTTGATGACTGAATTTCGTATGTGAAAATTACAGGGGTTTGTTGATTTCATGCAAGAAATGATTTTGATGATGCAGAATGTAAGACCCAAGGTATGCAAATGGTGATGCAGAAGTTTATTGAAACTAATTTTAAATGATTAAAAACTTGTTTCATTGTACATAAATTATTTGTACTAATTTATTTAGGATCTTAATTGTTCTTCAGGATGAGAAAGGAACAATGGAGGATCTACAAGGACTGTTAAGGGATATGATGATGAAAGAAAATGAAGGAATAGGAAACTCTGGGTTTAGCTGTAATTCATCTCCATGTCCTACAAAGAGTACACGTATTTCATGATTTCCTCTTTCAATTAATTATAATTTATCACCACATTTTATCAATCTACCATTTACATAGTTGATTATTATTAACATGTTTAAATTTTCTGCTATCAATAATGCGGACTTTTTTTCTCTCTCCAAATTAAGACACAATGTAAGCAAATATAGGTACTAAAAATGGTAAATGGTGAAAGCTTAAGGATTCATTATAGAAATCGAATAAAACTTATTTTGATAAAATAAATTTTGAATTATTGAATATATATATATATATACACACACTAAAAAACACGTATATGTATATGCATCTGAATTTATCAAACTAAAAGTTATCATGTTCGTCTGAAAAAACAATTGGTTTTGTATATATTTTTTCATTTTAAAGTTGAAAGAAATTAATTTTAAACTATTGGACATAATTAAAATGTACATTTTAATTAACTTTAATCATACTTTAATCAAATTAAGCTGACAAATGTACAGTCAAATGTTTCTCACTCTTAAATCAATCAATTTTGCTCTCTTTTGTCTAAATGCTCGCTGCAGGAGAACTTTGTAGTCCCATGTTATGAAGTTCTTGATGGTGATGAAAAAAATGCAAAAAGACATGGTACGAGGGCCCTCCATTTCAAATAAAAGAAAAGCAATCATCATTAAATAATTGTTCGAAGTAACAACTTTTTAATTATTCTTTGACTTAAAAGCGTACGGTAATCTCTTTGTTTTAGAAAATCCATACAAGTTCTTGCAAAGAAAAACATGATAGTACTTAAATATCTGTGAATATAATGTAAATGAAGAAAGTAACATATCGCTTATAGATTTGATGACAATGGTGACCATGTTTTGCACGCGAATTCTTGGTTTAGGTTTAGTGGTGGCTCCATTAATTAAATGGTACGTAAGAAAGTTGAAGTGATATGTAACCAACTGATTCAGGTTTCCCAGCTCCAGGGTGGAGTGGGACAATGAACAGCCATTGATGGAATTGGTGGCCACTCGCAGTCCATCAGATTGAGTAAAGTATAGCTGTCTACCAATGGAGAAAAGGAAAAGCAGAAGAACCACTGACCTAACATTGGATATAGGACACAAACCTTTCAACCTTGTTAATAAAAATCTAGCTCCTAATATTCCTGTCCTCGTGTTATTTTAAGATTGGCTATATGCTTGCCGTGACAAGAAAACAGTGTCATGGAATTCAAGGTTAATAAATTTCCATCACCATGCATGCTTCTGCCATACCAAGCAAGTCAACAGAAGCAATCATATAATGTGAATTAAAGAGAATATTGTCAGCTTTGCTTTATCAAAACCAATACACTGTGTACCACAGAGCCAATTCATGATAGACAAAGAATCAAGGTAGCACTCCTTTGTTTTAAATTATACGTTCAAAGCAAAAAGCGTCTTTGGCTGTACACCACCATCAAAAAATTTCTTACATGAATGAAGAAATTGAGGCTGTACATGAATGTACTATTTGGACTTGACACCAACAAATGGAAGGTTGATTGAAATGTTGAATAGAAGGAACATATTTGCATCAAGAATTTTGGTTTATTGGAAATTGGATGAAGTTGAAGAGGCTTTAGATGCAATGTGAAATTTGTTTCTCGTATATAGAGTGAATGAAACGGGTGATTATAGTACTTGGTCTAAAGAGCCGGAGATATTACTAGAGTGTGGATATAGGGAAGCAAAGCAAGAAAAGGAGAACTTGGAATACGAGCTCTGGAGATCGGGGCATGGCTCAGGAATCACCTCCTCGGAGAAACCAATTACATTAGAACAGAACCACGAAGGGGATATCTCATAACTGAGAGAAAAAGTCACTTTTGAAAGACAGATCGTTGAGAATGGTGATTCAAATATTCCTGAAAAATTCCCAGCAACATCAATATTTGCACCCATCACATTCTTGAAAGTAATGCTACCAACAACTGGAAGTGCACTCGTGTCATACTTGTCGTCTGGATGGAAACCGGAGTATCCTGTCATGCTTATTCCCAAGTGAATATTTTCCAATTCTGCATCAGAAATGAAGATGCCTTTCATATAGCCACCTCTGCCCCTAGTTGTTTTCAGTTCAAAGCCTATGGACGAGTTAAGTATGTGAAGCTTTTCTGCAATAACATCTGATATTCCCCCAGACATCTCACTCCCAAAAGCCAAGCCAGCACCTGATGATGATTGTAGGTAAACATTGCGGATATGGACACTCGAGGTTGGTTTTCCATAGGCAATTCCGTACTGATCCCAACCACTCTTCAACACGATTGCATCATGACCAGTGCTAATGTTACTGTTCTCGATGCAAACATACTTAGAAGAATCTGAAAGTTGCAAGAACTAATGAGCCATGACGCCCCCATAATAACTGGTTCACAAAATAAACTCCAAGAAAAGCAATGCAAGATACTACCACTACGTGACTAAAGTGCATGTTGAAAATATCGAAATGATGACAGACACCTTTGAGAATTGAACAAACAAAACCAAGGGTATTATTAACGAGACCATTAAACCAATTAACAGTAAACAATGCTAAGAGACAACTGAAAGTAATTAGTATACCTGGAACTATGCCACTCGTGTAAGGGGATTCGGCAGGTGCACGAGAAGTAATGTTCTGAATTTGAACGTTGCTGCTTTGTCGAAAGAAGAAAGATTAAAAATGGGGGAAAACAGTTTCCTGCTAGAAATTAGTCAGTAAACCCAAAAATGAGCTTGTGGTACCTGCAATATACTGGATGGATGCCCCAAGCTGGAGAGTCCACAAAAGTCAAATTGGAAATTATGACATCAACCGAATCAACAAATTCTATAAGATTTGGTCGACTGTAGTTTAAGGAATGAGAACTGAACAGCTTCCACCAGATAGAACCTTGCCCGTCTATTGTTCCATTATCACCTGTTGCATTTGTTAAATATACCAATTCAAGTGAGGAAGAAATACTTTGCATATACCATCAGAGAAATACTAGAAGGATAAAATAGTAATGAATGAAATTTCTCACCAGTAACTACCACATCACTTAAATTCTGTCCGTAGATTAAACTGCGATATCTCCCAGTTCCTTTACCATAAGAAGGGAGCGAATCCACTACATCCCAATGGGAACAATCCTGAAGTGATACAAGATAAAAAAAAAAAGTATAAATAAAAAGTTTCAAGAGAGAGCAAACTGGGTTCCTTTATTGAAATATTTTCCAATATAATAATAACATGAATAATCACATCATCTAGACTTTTTTTGGAAATAGTAATAGTAATTTTTTTCATTAAGCTCCAAGAGAAGCGTGAATAATAACAGGTAATAACCAAACTTGGTATGCAAGGTTTAGAAAAATGAAACCAAAGATTTTGGTTGCATTTCTTCTTCCATGGTTACTTATGTTTGTTGTTGTTTGCTATTCAGGAAGAGGCAGATAAAACGAACCTGAGATGCAATGATGGTAGCACCTCTCTCAAGGAACAGAGTGAGGTGACTGGTGAGGTTAAAACTCCCAGTAAGCCATGTCCCAGATGGAACATATAGTTGGGCACCCCCTTTGTCAGCAAACGACTTGAGATAAAATATTGCGTTTTGGAACGCAACTGTGTTCAGTGTTATTCCATCTCCGACAGCCCCAAACTCCAAGATCGACACACTGTGAGGCCTAGCATTCAACGCATTTTGTTTACATGGTCCACCATTGTCTTCTCCGTTGCTTTCCGCAGCAGCGCATATTGCAACAAGGAAAAGCATTGCCACCTAAAAAGAAGATAGAAAAGGGGAAGAACTAAAGTGCAATTCCAACTTCACAACAGTATAACAAAGTGCTTCTCAGACGCTAACAATCCATTCGGTTTGATACAATAATGTTTAGAAACATAACCAGACACTCTAGAGCTATGCAAACGCTTCATCAGAAAGTAAACTGAAACATGTAAATCAATCAAGCAACCCGTTTAAGCATTTAAAATTCTATTTCCGAATCGGAGAATTTTATCCGAAAATAATAATAGCTTATCATACCACTGAACTTCAAAGATCTCTACATTCATTTTCACAGACAAGAAAGCAATATCTCAACTAACCTACCTTAGCAGAGTCACCAATCTCTATTCTCTCAAACTGTCATAATTCTAAATTGGATCCTAAGTCCTGACAAGATATTGACGTAAATTTATGACTGCTATTTGAACTTTAAAGTGTACTGTAAAAGCCAAACACAGGAACAAAAATCAAGACAAGCTGTAATTGTTGAAGCGAGTGAAACAAACTATTTTACAGGCTATCTGAGATTGAGAAAAAAAAAAAAAACGGTTCATAACAACATTAAAGAAAAAAACCTTAGTTTAAAATATCATATGGTCTTACAAGACAACGTACTTACTAGCTCCTTCATGTCTGCTTGAGCAGCAGTGAGCTGAAACTTCAATGAGGCGACAAAGTTCTGAATCCAGTGCAAGAACAGTTGCATGGAGCAAAGGAGAGGGAGTGACTTAGATGAAGAACATAGAATACAGAACAATAGAAAGAGAGGAGCAGTATTTCGTATATAATGCTGGAGAAGTACTTTGTACTCATACAAAAAATAAAAAATAAATAAAGAAAAGGGTGGTAAGAGAAAGAGACAGCTAAAAATGGATACCAGAATGACAGCTTGTACATTTCATTACCTTGTACATTAACAAATTTATACGCATCCAACAAGAAACAAACTAATATGTCTTTAATAATAATATTTTACAGATTCTTAAATAAATCTCAACAATATTTATATTTTAATTTTAATATACAATAGAAATATATCAATTTGGTAAATTATGGTCCTTCCCATGGTTTGTGCAGACACATGCCGAGATTGCATAGGGTCAATACGAATATGTCCTGGGAATTTTAAGTTTTGAGAGAAATGAGATTCTAGATTATTTTTATTAATTAAATTAATTTATTACATTAATTTGCGCTGAAGTCACGTGTTGAGCAACTCACCTATCTCGTCTGTGCGAACTGCTATCTATAAAATTATTATTTGTTTTAATTTAATATTAAAACAGACTAAATATTTTTTTTACCCACATTAGTAACAAATTAATTCTTACCAAACAAATGTCGCTTTCATTAAAAATTTAATAAATGTGCATGTAAGGGGTTGTTTAGTATGAACACACGTATATTAAGAATGTACTGTGATTAGGTGTAACTTTTTTTTACTTACCAAAGTTAAACAAAATTACCTTTATGCAGAGAGACGTAAATTAAACATTCACTGCAAATTTGCGTGGAACCCTTATCACAATATTATAATTAAAAATCTAAATAAAGTAGACTAAGTTTAATACCTGAAAGACAAGCGATTTTTAAAGTTTTTTATTTATATTTTTTTATGTAAAAAATTATTTAAAGTAGATTTTAGTTTAATAAATATTATTGATTGTGATATGACTTGATTTAATGTTAAGGATATTTAAATTGAATCGGTAAAAAATACAAAAAAAATTGATTAGACGAGTCATATTACATGTATTGATTAGACGAGTCATATTAAATATATTGATTAGACGAGTCATGTAATACACATCAAACGAATATTTTCAAACGATGAATATAACAAAAAAAATACACAAGTCTAATAATATACATTAGACAAGATTCTTTATAGTCTAAATAAATGAGTATAACAAAAAGTATTATAAAAAAAATTTAAATGTTGATTAAATGAGTATAATAAAAAAATATTAGACAAGTTATTTCATACGTTAACTAGACGAGTATAACAAAAATTATTACACAAGTCTAGAAATGACAAAGTTATTACATATGTCAAAAGTCCTCGGATGTCAAATTCATATTATAATGATAATAAATATATAACTTACCTCCTTACCACAAATCATTATTTATAAACTTTACAAGGGACTTTTGATTATTGTAGATTTAATTACAATCCAAACATAACTAATCGTCATTTATATTCCAAATAAGATAATTTTGGAGTTAAAATGTTTCAACTTCACATATTGGTTTCTACAGTGTTTCAATCATCCAATCTGATTCACTTAATGAAGAATTATTTGTCTGATTAAGGATCGACTGGTCATGTATATTATATAATTACTATTATTAATCATCATGGTTGGTTATTCATTATTATTTATTGTCAGTAAATTTATTATTATTTAAAAAAATTAATTGTTCATATCAATAAATTACAGTTGTTTGTTGTTTTTAAAATAAAAAAATTGTAAACTTTTATAATCAGCACAATTAAAAGTTTATTATCATCGATATTGTTTGTTGTTGTTAGAATTAATATTTTTAAAACTTTTATCATCAATGTCACAATTAAAAAGTTTAATTGTTATTTTTATTGTCGTTATTATATTATTATTATTATCATCATTACTCTCAATATGGTTACTATTATTCACTAATGTCGTGCCAACAATTACTTTTTCAAGTTGTTACAGAATAAATATATTCTTAAACTAATTTTGAAAGGATCAAAACTTCAATGCGAGTATTTTTAGCTAAAAGTTAGAGGGAAAACAAAAAATATTTTTAAAAATAAAAAAGTTGAGTTAATTTTTAAAATAATTAAATTTACAATTGAAAAAACCACTTGGTTAACTCCATCAACTTTGGTAATATATTTGTACAATTTAATTTGTAGTTATTTTTTTCCCTACTCAAATGCTTGTATGAATGTAAAGCAAAAGGGTTAGGTTGACGTGATAATTGAATCGAGAAAACTGGTTGAGGAGTTCGTAGTTGGAAGCAGATCACGAAATCTGCGGTGGCTATGTCGCAGCCTCGCAGTACTCAAAAGGGTAATTTTCAACTTGCAAAACATTTTATCAAATATGTTTTAAAACGGCTCAGATTCTTTTAGATGTATATCACCAATATATCTGTTTTATGTTTTTATGAAAATAGTATATTTATTATTATCATTATCTCACTACTTTTTTTTTTCTATTTCAGCATTACCCTCTTCTTCGTCTAGATACAGATAAGACGCTAAGAATAAAAGAAAAATAGTTTTGCAAAATAAGTAACTATATAAGTAGTATACAAATTATATTTCAGAAAAAAAAAACTATAAAATATTTTTAATCGAAATAATAAAAAGAAATGGTAAAAGAGCAAATAAGTTGTTATGATAGATTTATTGTTCTCTTTTGCTTAAAGTTATAAATTTAAAACAAGTGCATGATTAGCCTAACCAAGTCAGCCAACTACACTCCCACACGTACATGTGCGTCTTTATAAATCTGTCAGTACAATGCATAGCCTCCTAGATATTTTCACATTGAAAAAAAAAAACTTTTAAATAGCTTTATGAATTATATAAATTAACTTATAGAAAAAAATATATTTTAACTTTACTTAAAATAGATTTTAATTTACGTATAGAATAAATTTATATCACTTACTTCTTTTGTAAATGTTTATGAAAATATTGTTTAAATAGATTCAAATGCCTTTTATCTTTATATTTTTGTTCTCTTTATATTGTTTAAATATTTTTTTCACTTTAAATAAGATTGGTTTCACAGTGAGAGTGAAGCATATGTATATAAATTACTTTTAGTTGAATTCAACCCAGAAATGGGCCACTCCCAATTTTGATGGACTTGCATTGAGAGAAAATCACATCATAATGTAGAACGGGTGTTGCTCCCTACACCACCCCACTTTTACTCCATGTACCACTACATTTTTCTAAAATTTTAAAACTATCCTTTATATTTTAAAATATTCTACATCTCCACCTCTTTTCTTCAACGGATGTCAACATCCGTTCGTTGAAGAAAAAATTCTTCAACGGATATGCCACATCCGTTGAATTTTTTTTTTTAATTTTTTTTTAATTTATTATATTTTAAATTAATATATAAATATTATTTAATTTTTTTTAAATCATTACTTAATTATTTATAAATTAATTTTATTTTATTTAATAAAATAATTATTATTAATTTTAATTTATGTATTATTATTTAAATAATAATTAAAAAATTTGTTATAAATATATTAAAACGGATGTTCATCCGTTGCATTTTTTTTTGTTTTTAGTTTTTTTTTAATTTTTTTATTTTAAATTAATGTATAAATATTATTTAATTATTTTAAAATTATTACTTAATTATTTATAAATTAATTTTATTTTATTTAATAAAATAATTATTATTAAATTTAATTTATGTATTATTATTTAAATAATAATTAAAAAATTTGTTATAAATATATTAAAACGGATGTGCCACATCCGTTAACGGATGTGGCAACATCCGTTGCCTTTTTTGTTTTTTTGTTTTTAATTTTTTATATTTTAAATTAATATATAAATATTATTTAATTTTTTTTAAATTATTACTTAATTATTTATAAATTAATTTTATTTTATTTAATAAAATAATTATTATTAAATTTAATTTATGTATTATTATTTAAATAATAATTAAAAAATTTGTTATAAATATATTAAAACGGATGTGCCACATCCGTTAACGGATGTGGCAACATCCGTTGCCTTTTTTGTTTTTTTGTTTTTAATTTTTTATATTTTAAATTAATATATAAATGTTATTTAATTTTTTAAAAATTATTATTTAATTATTTATAAATTAATTTTATTTTATTTAATAAAATAATTATTATTAATTTAATGTATATATTATTATTTAAATAATAAATAAAATACTTTTTAAAAATTTATTAAACGGATGTGGCACATCCGTTAACCGATGTCAACATCCGTTGAAGGTGAAACGGATGTTGACATCCGTTGAAGGTGAAACGGATGTTGACATCCGTTTTATAGAAGGGCAAATTAGGTATGGAGAGGTGCAGGGAGTGGTTGGTGGTGGTGGAGGGAGCAACTCCCATGTAGAACTCTACACAATTTCGAAAAACTTTTAGGTATCAGCATGGAAAATTCGGAATTATATAAAACACTATCCGATAATAACTATTTACAAGGTTAAAAAGTTTTTTTTTCTTAAAGTGGAGTTTGAACGAAATAAGGTTTAATTTAAACAAATTAATGATGAATTTGAGGGAGTGAAAATTATTCTTTATTTGAAATTTAAATTTAGAAAGCAAAAAATAAAACGGTAAAATCCCTGAAAGTGAATTGCGTTTTAATGTTCTATAATGTATAATCATAATATTCAATCATAAATAATATATAATCTGATCATGGAGAACTATATTTCAATAATATTCTGCAAAAATTACAAGTTAATCCAATGATTCATGAGATTGTGATCACAATTTTACTGAAAGAGTTTAAGAATAAAAACTAGTTGACAACTCAAAATCATAATTTTTTTTTCAAAACTCTTTTCCCTAATTTATCAATTTACTTATAAAAATATTTAAATAAAAAACTTAAATATAGTTAACATGAAAAGTGTGTTACAAATATATAAGATAACATTTTTTAAAATATTATACATAATATAACTTTTTTTGAATGGAAATATTATACATAATATATTATTTACATTGTAAATATTTGGATGTTACATGATGTGTTTGGCTTGAGCCTAATAAGGGAGAAACCTTTGTCTGATAGACGAGG